ACGTCTCATTTATCGAATTCATGTCAAAGTACTTCGCTTTGGTTTCATACACTTGGTTTTTTGGTAATTGACTCATAGTCCCAAGACGATGTTGAAATGATCACACACCTCTCCCTTCCTGAACTTATCGAAAAGCTTAAAAAGCAAGAGCTACCTCCGGCTTACGTTCTTCTGGCGTACCAACACAAAGCCTTCGAAGTAGATACGAAACTTAACTGTGTGGTGGAATTTTTATACCCGGAGGTTTGTTTCTTTTCACTTCGGAAGCAACCTCAAATTGCTTGATTTTTTTTTCTTAACTTTTTTACTGGTAGCTTACAGATGTGAATCTTAGTGGACCACTTGCTGGAGCTCCTGTCAGTCTGAAAGAGTGCTTTGGAATCAAGGTGCCGTTTACTTAGTTAATCAGGAAACTTTTAACATTTCTAACGGTTTTTGAAAAAGTACTGGCCCTTTTCTTTATAAATTTTACTTAATATTTATGTTTACAACTTATCGAATCTCCCAATTCATCTTCGTATTGATTGTTGTAGAATGTCCTTTTCTTCAAGAATGTTTTTAATGGTGATGAGAGTCTGTGCTCTGCCCAAATAGGATCTGGATGTTTGCTGCGGATGCTCTTGTTACATTGGCATACCACAAGAAGATGATTTCGTGGCCTTGAAATTGATTCGTGATCTTGGAGGAGTGCCCTTTGTTAGAACTAATGTACCACAGACTATGCTAAGGTACGCTGTTTGTTTGGCGATCTCTCTCCTTTCTGGGTAGGAGAATGGTAGGAATGATAAGTGAAAAGGCCAAATTTAAAGCCATAAGCACCTTTTATTGCCTTACCGAATTCTCTCATGTCGGCTTTACTCCTCACTTCGATGTCGAGCCTACTTTTTGAAAGTCCATATAGATACACTGAGATAGGTTAGCTCACTTCACCAGTCCTCTCCAATGCCTTAATCCCGAAGTTGAGACAGTGTGTTTAGGCTAATTCTGAGTTCCCACAATCTCGGGCGGGACCGTAGTTGATGTCTTTGAGAAATCAGTACATTTCGATTGTTTTGATTCAACCCTAAACTAGTAGTTATCCATGGCTTTGTGGTTCAAGCTTTCACTGAACAAAAAGGTGTTTCATACATGAAGGAAGGTGTCTCAACCGATTTTGCCATCGAAAATAAGAGGAGACCACGAAACACATTTTCAATTTGATTTGATCATTTTTGGTATGAGCATACAGAAGTGCTAAGAGCCAGTAACAAATTCCTAATCCTGTATTAATATCCTATGATAACATTAATAAATTTATCATCCACTTTCCAAGCACTCAATGCAGCAATCCGATCAATGGAGTGACCTTGAACCCACTAAGAACTGATCGCACTTCTCATGGATCAAGTGGGGGTGAAGCGGCCCTCGTAAGTGCGTGTGGCTCTCCCTTGGGTTTGGGCACCGACATTGGTGGTAGCATTCGTCTCCCCTCTGCAAT